AAAAAATGCAAGACTAGAAACTGAAAAATTATAATAAACTAAGCATGTCCTGCAAAGCATTGGGAAAATGAGTGAGTTTTCCCCATGCACCAGAAGCCCATCAATGCCATGGCCATCCACACCTCCAAGAGGAGGGAGTTGCTCAGCTGGGACACCACCACAAAAAAAGCCCTGCTCCTGGTTCCCACACAACAGGCTACCCTAGCTGATGGGACCAGAAGCAGCCCCCACTCTGCCCACCCAATCTCAGGGCTCAGGCTGGTTGATATACAGTGGTACCTTGGTTTATAGATGCTTCAGGTTACAGACTCCACTAACCCAGAAATAGTACCTAGGGTTAAGAACTTTGCTTCAGGATGAGAACAGAAATCACGTGGCAGCGGCGCGGTGGCAGCAGGAGACCCCATTAGCTAAGGTGGTACCTCAGGTTAAGAACAGTTTCAGGTTAAGAACGGACCTCCAGAACAAATTAAGTTCTTAACCCGAGGTACCACTGTAGTGAGAAGCACTGTGACAAATACCTAACTCCCATACTGGTGTGTGTGTATGAGTGTGCATGCATGCAAGTGTAAGGGATGGGGTGGATTATTTGTACAGTGGGGGTATGAATAGCAGGTAACAAACCACTGTTTAGTTTGACGTCATGTATGCTGTCAAGCAACTGAATTTCATTTCATTTTACTGCTTTGTTACAATGGTGCAGAGCTGGAAGAAAGCCAAATATCAACAGAGACCAAAACTCAAACACTGTTTCTCAACAATGTTAGCCAAGCATCAATTCCCACCTTGTGTGTGGTTGACTACAGGTGTCCAATACATGAACATGCAACAATCTACATGTCGGAAGGATTATTACACATTGTAATCTGTGTCTAATAGTCATGCAGTATCCAACATGGAAGCAACGTCTGTGCTGGAACTTTGTAATGTGTGACGTGGCCCTTAGAAATCTGATAAGGCAGCATTGAGAGCCCAGCCAAGGGAAGGGACCAGCCTCACCAGTGTATAGCCCTTGCTTCAGTCCCTGAGGCCATTAACACCACTCTCTGTTCCCAGTCTTTTGACGTTGAAGCACAAAATCCGTGTTTGCTCCTTGTGGCTCTGCCATCAATTCTATTGCATGACCTTGTAAAAGTACATTCTGGAAATAATGACTCACTCCTTATGGTTGTTTGGAGATTTATGTAGTCCAAGGTGAGATTGCTAAGCACACTTTTTAAATGCTATATAAAATGCAATATAGAAAAGATTTTGTAATTGCATGCCAATACAATAAAAGCGATCTATAGTGGCATCATGATAATGGTAATGATACATATTTTTCTAAGAATCTGTAGGCAACACTGGAAAGGGATTCCCTAAAACACCTTGTTGAACATCAACCTAAGTTTAAGGAGCTCCTTTGAATGCATAATTGCCATTTTAATGGGTCTAATGGTGTTTGAAAATCCCAACCACTCAACGCAAAAAATAAATTGATGGAAGTGATCACAGAAGACATGCTGTGAAATTGAGGTGGAGTTCAGGGTCAGGGAGTTTAAATTAAACAAGCACACACACACAATCCTTAGCCATGTAGTTTCTAGAGCTGCTGCCGCTGAAAAGGGGAAATGAAAGAATCCTATTTTCAGTGTATCAAAAAGGCCTCACAGCCTGCATCTAGTTAGCTCCTTCCTCTCCAATTCTTCGGAAACCTTGTCCTTGAATCAAAAAGTAAGTGATGTACACAGCCCATTCACAAAATCTGGGGCTTTGTAATATACACAAAAGCCTATCAGGCAGAGCCTGACATAACAGATACTTTTTAAAATAGGTGATGTCCTTATTAGGAGAACAGTTTGATGAGGTCGGGAAAATAGGTCGCCCATGGTAGGCCAGCTGATCTGTTTTACTGCACTTAAACAAGCGGGTGAAAATGTCTGTATTTTTCAAGTTTCAATGTGTGAAGATGACAAAATATTCATTTGCCATAGTTACACATTTCAAAACCTGATCCAATGCTTTGTTCCTAGGTATTTTAAGAAGCTCCCAAACAGCATAGCTATGCCACTCAAGGGGCTCTTTTGGGGTGTGGAGGGGGGTAATGCAGGCATGGAAAAAGAAGTGAGGCAACCTGCAAGGAAACTGACATGACTCAAGCAGTGGAGCACTTTTCAGGATGGACCATGGCTCAGTGATGCACTGTATGCTTTTCTTGTCAAACAGGGGTCACTAATGCAATGTGCAGGCACCATAGAAGCCACAAAAGCCTTTAATGACCCTAGGCTTTCATTTTTTAAAAAATGTAAGTTTCTAGTCCTCCTAGAAATGAAATGATCAGGGAAGACAGGTGGCAGGGACTGGCTGGACACTGAGGAGTGGGCACTGGGAGAAAAGAGGTTGGAAACTGACTTGGAGGAAGAGATCAGTGATCTGGGGAGCCAGGAGATGAGAGTCAGAGGCAGGAGAAGCTGCAGGATTGGAGAACAGGTACAGGAGGAGTTAGAGATAGGTCAAGCTGGTGTAAAGTCAAGGGCTGCCACTCCTCCTACTCCTGCCCTACCTCTCCTACTCCACTTTCCACCAGGACCAAAAGAGGATTGAAGGGGGAGGAGCAGAAGCAGGTTACACACAGGTGTAGTCTTTGACTGCTTGCAGAAAACTCAGGTGGGAGAGCTGAGGTTGGGGTTGGCCCCCTCTCTGTTGCTGCAACTGCCTCATTGGGTACACACGTAGGAGCAGCTGAGAGACATAGGACTGATGGGCATGCCTTTTCCGAACTTGCAAGTGTACGTTTGACAATAAAGAGTTAATTCTTCACTCTGGATGTTCCTTACCTGACAGCCCCATGACAGATAGGTGCTGCTAAGGAGCAACAGCTGAAAGGCATGTGCTCTACCATGGACCTGTGGACCTGCCCATCTTAGAAAGGCATCTCCAGGGTCCTAGACAGGCACACCCAAGAAACTAACAAGCAGAAAGAAAGCAGCTGAAAAATTCATTTAAAGTAGCTTTAGAGTGGCTGTTTGGACACAGCAGTCTGAACTGTAATAGAATGCCAATGATATGACATTGCCACTGAGTGCTGGGACAATGTCAAAGGGTTCACTAGCTGGGGAAAGAATACATTTCAGTCCTCTGCAATGATGGAACAACAGCCGTAATTACCTCGAAAAGGCTTCTGTTTCCTTTTGGAAAAGATGAATGCTGCTCTCTCACGGCGATGCAGGTGTGAAACGTCTTGGGAAGAAATATTGGCTCTGCATAAGTGCTGATTATTAATAAGCTATATAACTACTCAACTGCAGCTCTTCACCTTTAGCGTGGGCTGAGATTCCAGTTATTTCAAGCAGATGAAGTTGCTTGTCATCCATGCAGTGCTGGGGATCCCACACACCTTGTGTGTACATCTCAGATTAGTCATTAACAAGCAACACAGAAACACTGGCTTGTTGGCAGAGCTGTGTGGCAAATGAGGACCAGTTACTTTTTCTGCTAGTAACCTCTGCTTCCCGTAAATTACAACACTTCTGTGTAGAAAAGAATAGTTGATGTGGAGATTTTTCCATTCTCTTTGCATGAATCAGCCACTTCTCATTTCCTTTCCCACCCCACTGCATACCATGCAACATGGATTAAATAGTTTGTGTTTTACTTACATGTTGTAAATAAGAAGGCAGAGAGCTAGCCTAATGGCATATGCAAAGCCAAATCAGTGATGTACTTAGGGAGTTTTAAACTCTGGACTTAATGGCTTTATAGGGGAGCCCACTTAAGAAGTGAGTATGCATTATTTCAAAGTGTAATAAACCAGTACTTTGGGGGACCCTCTGCTTGTTATGCCCTGAGGTCACCACTAACCCATGGATAATGGGTATTGTTTTGGATAATGATATTGTTGGGGGTGCACATGGTTCATTCTCCTCTGTAACATGGCAAGTGATCATGGGGTGCACCTTTTGACATGTCTTGGAAGCCAAAAAAGGAGAGACAAAGCCTTGAAACGATGCTCAAATGGTTTTTTTACACGTGAAATATATACAATGCATTTTGGTGTACCACATTCTTCCGCTTATTGTACCAACTCACTGTAAAAATCACACTCTATTATTCCCTCCCCCAGCTTAGGCGGTGAGAGGGACAGCCCTTTTTGCCTCCAGTCCCCTGACCTGAAAGTGAACCATGGAGGTCAGCTGCAAAACATTTTAGCAAGGAGGGGGGCTGCATTTGGCTCCTAGTTGCTGCCTCCATTCAGTTCTTCTGATGATTCTTGGGATGCACGCACCTGCCCACCTTTCGGAGCCAGTGTAGGAAATGTTCTGGTTACCATTTAATTAGGGCCATGTAGGATTTTCTTCCTGGAAGTTCTGGTTGGCCTTGGACATGGCAAACTTTTTGTCTACCTCACTCTGGCTTAGTTTTGGTAGTTTCCCCACATTTCCATTTGGTGGACACAGCATGGGGTTGAGTTATTTGGGAGTGATAAGCACTTTGAGGCACCTTCTAGAAGACGAAGGGGTGCTTCCTCATACCTGCCCACCAATGCCTCATGGCTGGAGAACAGGGGTGGGACAGAGCCTTGCTTGATGACTGGCCTGCTCAACCACTCACTGCCAGATGGCTGGAGGGGACATGAGAAGGTCAGAATTCCCTTGGTGCAGCTAACAAGCTGGCAAAGAAAAGCTAGGAATAGGGCATTAACTGACAAGGGAGCTCACACAAAAATCCAAGAAATAGGTTACAGGTTCCTGTGCCTAGGATTCATAAGAGGCCACACAGTTTGGACCTTGTTAGAATAGTAGCATTACCTGTTTGCAGATCCCAAAACTTCATGTCTGTTCCCTTGTTAAGAGGTGAGTGTGCAAATTAATACTGATTCTTGCCCTCGAGAAGGTGATACAGGAACATAGGAAGCTGCCTTATACTGAGTCAGGCGATTGAGCCATCTAGCTCAGCAGTGTCCATGCTGACTGGTAGCAGCTCTCCAGGGTTTGAGGCAAGGGATCTGTCCCAACCCTACCTGGAGGTGGCAGGGGTTGATCATGAGACCTTCTGCATGCAAGGCAGATGCTACACCACTAAGCCCCGCCCCTGCCAAAATGTGTTGGCCACATTTCATCACAAATAAATTTGTTGACCATCAATCACTTCAAGACCCCCGCCACCATCACCAACTTTCTCTTTTTCTCTCACTTTCTCTGGCTTACAGTCCTCTTGGTACTGCTCTTCTCCATTTTTGGTTCAGCAACATGGCTTGGGCCAGAACTGGGTGGAAGGATTAGGGCCTCTTCTCACACTACAATTTAACAAGGTGGGGGCGCTTTTCACGTCTTTTTCCTCGCTCATCTTTTCCATTCTGCATTTTCAGATGCAGACCTGATTGCCTTTTTCTCTGTGCCAGCGGTCTCATTGCAAATGCCTTTTCTCTCTGTTTAGGGATCTATGAAAGATGAACACAACATCAGCAAAGCCACTTCTATAATTGAAAGTCAGCATCACCACCTACTGCACTGCTTGGAAAAAACAACTGTAAGTAGCAACAAGAAGCCTTCTAACTTTGAATCTCACACTCTTGGGGGTGATTTCAATTGAAGAAGATGCGGGGATACTACAAAGTAAACAACACAGATACATAGATTTATGTACCCTGGGAGACATAAAAATATGTTATTAACAGTTGATGGGATGTGCTAAATATTTTATACATGCCTTAGTTCCAGCACCATGTTTTTTAAAAAAATGTGTTGCACCAAGCAACCCAACAGGTAGCTTCTCTCAGGACTCAACATGTCTTTTTGCTTTGTTGACCTTCAGACGCTTTCTTTTTAAAAAGCACCAAAGTCTGATGCCTAGCAAAATATTGCCACCGAGAATTAAAGGCAGAGATGCTCAGGGTTTGCCCTTACTAGTAGTTGGCTTTGGGTTGGTGCCAACTTGAGATGCCTGCTGTGCACACCTGTCTTGCACTGCCTACAAGTTGCTGGATTATACCCAGGAATCAAAGCAGCATGGCATACTCCAAGGTGAAAGCTGTACTGCTCAGAAGATGGGCAAAGGCTTCCATTTCAACTACTGCATACTACAGCAGCCCTGGGAATAGAATGATGTGACAGTTGCCTGAGACCTGCACATAAAAGCAGTCTTCTATGCAGGTAGCCAATGCAAGAATGAGCCTCACAATGCACATCCCCGTTCAGTTGTTACACGTGGCTACTTGGCCACAACTAAAGCTGCATTGGGACCCGTATCTGTGTTGTCTTTACCCCTTCGACACCACTTCTTCAGAACATTAGATTATTATCCATCTCCAGCTGCCTGTGCCTCTGTTTCTGCAGTGCAGCAGCAGACCACCGTAAACACAGGCAGCATACATGAGAAAAGCAGATACCTTTTCCCATAGGGAAACTCAAGGGCGGGTGCAGAATGCACAGCCCATGTTGATCTTGCTGTCGTTTCCGCCAGCTGTAGGAGCAGGTAGAAGGCACCACATCCAGAGGCATGGCACATATGGACTGCAGAGACTAATGTGTTGCATGAGCATGTTCAATGCCCCCACCCAAGAAATAAGCCCTATCAATATGCCTTGGGTAATATCTCCATGATGAGACATTTATTCATAAACAAGCATCACTGTGCATTTCTGTCATATTCATTTGAGAAGGGGGTGGGGGGAATAAGGCTAAAGGATGAAGTTTGCTATCCCTGTTATCAAATGGATAAACAGAGATCCAGTCTGGTATGGGAGTAAACAGAGTGTTGGAAGTAGAGTGAAGAGATCTCAATTCAAATTCTCCTGCAGCCATGAATCTTGCTGGGTGGCCTTACACAAATTACCTACCTCACAAGGTCATTGTGGGGAGTGAAATGTAGGTATCTTTATGTATGCTGCCTTGGACACTATAGAGGAAATAAGGGGGTGGAACAGTGGTGAAGAAATAGGAGCACTGTTTATGCAAATGCTATTCAGACAACAATATGCGTAGAATCAACATGGGGAAAGGGGCACAATAAACTGATATATTATTCCATTTATATTGCCTCCTTCCTCCCAGTGGAGCCCAGTGCAACAAACAAGTGACAAAATAATTTAAACACCTTAAAACAATTCCAATACAGATGCAGACTGGGAAATCTCAGTATTGCAATTTAAAAAGCTTGTTAAAAGAGGAAAGTCTTAGGCACCAAAAGTCAAGAGATGGTGCCTGCCTATTATTTAAGAGGAGGAAATTCCAAATTGAAGACGTCACCACACTTAATGCCCAATTCCTGCATTAACCAACCTCTTCAACTTGGGCATCGATTGGGTCATGTATGTACATAAGCTCTGTTCAGAGGGCACAAACCACTCCTGTCCCCTGCATTGATTCTACATATATTTGTTGCCTGAAAAGAACATCGGTCTCAACAATGGTGTGAAGCTAATGAAGGGATTGTCATTGGGTCAGTTTTAGTATAATAAAAAACAGAGGAAGGGGAAATAGGAAAAAGAGTTTCGAATGCCTTTAAAGCCGATTGGTTAAAGAAGCAATTAATGACCAAGATATATATGAATTAAGCTGATAGGAAATATAATAAATTATTTCCCATCTATCCTTCAAACTGAGATCCTAATGTAAATATGTATAATGCTTTGTCAGAAATCGGGGGGCAGGGGTTGGAATCAGATGTGGCTCATTGCAACTTTGATCAGTGATAAATGGCTATTTGGTTATAGGAAGGGGTATGCTACTGGCCTAAACCATCCATCATTTTCAACACAGAAGTTGTCATCCACGGACTGACATGCAGCATGTTTGGTGTATGTTTTTCAGTGCACCCATCACAACAGTTCAGTCAGCATTTGTGCTGAAAATGCATGTCTTTCCATCATATTTACTTAATCAATCAAGAAAGCATTGCACTAACAAAAGAAATTGTTGTGATAATTTATGGATTGTTGAAACACCAAAGTGTCATTCTACAACGGTACAAAGTTGTCAGCGGAATGAGGAATGACCTACACATAAAAGAGTTTTACGAACAGTTTTGAAAGGGTAATTCACCTTTTCCTCAAACCAGAAATCAGATTCATTGTATCACCTACGCCTTTTGAAATTCAGTGTCATTCTAAGCTGTGGTTAATTATCTCCAAACTCAGGCAATTGCTCAAAACAAAACCTGTAAAATAAACAAAGATAAAACAAAGAAATAAATTCAAGAGCCATACCCCTTATTCTGTATCACAATACATCCCATATTTTCTTCAGCAGCACTACTTATTTTACTCTAATTCAGCTCTATGGCTTTTAGTTGCTCAGGTGCTGCCATCTGGGGGTGCTTCAGATAAATGGCTTATAATATTCTATTCTGGGCCACTTGGCTCTCAAAGGAAGCCCAAGCATCTTATTGGTGTAATGCAAAATGTGTTAAAGGAAATGTCATATTGCCCATTCAAACTTGTGTGATGCCACGTGGAATGCTGGGAGTTGATTTTGGAATGCTGGGATGGACAATCAATGGTGTTTTTATCTTTTGTTGACATGTTGTCCTGTAGGGATTGTCCTATCTTGGGGATGATCCCCTGTTATCTGTACGAACTTCCACCTTCAAGGTATTTCCTTCTTAATTCAATCCATTTGCTGCAGTCTCTGTGCCATGTCTTGAGTGTTGTTTCCTTCTTTGTTGTTGATCCCGTTTTTAGCAGATTGTGCATGCTGGTGCTCTTTTGCTCTCTGGTGGCTTCCAGTGTTATTAAGACTGTCCAATGGAAAACAGCTTTATCTGTTTTTTTCCCACCCTTTCTAGCTCAAAAAAGGAATATGCTAAATATGAATGTTAAGTTATCTGCCCTCTGTGGTTGTGGGAGTTGTGTATGCTCTGAGGTCTTATCCTTTCTCGCTCCTGTGTTAGGTACTAGACACCACTCATCTCTCCCCTGTTTTGTGTGATGTATATTTCCCTGATCTGGCTAAAATTGCTATTCTAGGTTACACAACATTACATTTCTAGAGTATTCTTTATGCATTATGGGAGTAGCGTGGAAACTGCTGTCAAAACATTCAAAAGCCTGGTGCCTCGTGGGTGCTGCCAATCACTGTCCCACAGGATTATCTCCTTTGATCTTGGCCAGGTGTCGAGTACGTGGGAAGACCTGCCGGCATGACCCTACCCATATACTAGCAGGCTTTTAAAGATTATGATAGTTCCACAGAATAAAGTTGCAGGTAAAAAAAGGTCCTGTGAAAATATGAAGGGCACCTCTTTCCTGGAATTGGAGTCCTAGGTGGAAGCTTTCTCACAAGTTGTCTTCCTACCTGAAAGCACAGAATGACAGCTCTGTGCAATTCAGCTGGGTTGATTATAAAATATCAGCATCACCTTTCCCCTAACCATGTCGTTCTCCCTAACATTTGCCATCCTAACCGCTTTGCTTAGGTCTATCTCTGCTTCATAATGTTAAATCAGGAAGGTCATGATAAAATCAAGATACTTATGCTCCTGCCAGACAGCTAACACGTCTTTGTCCTTCTGTGGTAAACTACAAGCAGAATTGCACATGGCTTTCTGCACTGCTGGGATTGTTGAGCTCCTCCAATGTGTACATCCTATGTTCCTTCTACACCAGTGGACATGGCATAGCTGCTGTGGGTAAGGCCATTTGAAGCTCAGCACACATTCGGTATAACTTTGTGGTGGGTATTATTTTATGACTCTTATTGATTGATTTATTATGCATATTAAAATTATCAGTAAGACATTTTTCCAGTGGGGGTTTTTTCCATGAGAGATATAGCAGTATGACCACCATAATGTTAAATTTTGTATAATGGTGGAGTCCCTAAGATGGGGATGTCATATGGCAGGCATGACCAACAGGTAGATCATGATCTACTGGTAGATTGCGAGGTGTTCCTGGTAGATGCTGGTTGATCTCTGGCCTCTCAGCGATCTCCTTACAAAAAAGAAAAAAGAAAAAAACAACAACAACCCAACTTTGGCTTCCTAAAAGAAAGCTCCACAACTTTGGGTAGATCACTGCCAGTTTTTTTATACTGTGAGTAGATCGCAGTCTATTGGGAGTTGGACGTCCCTGTCATATGGTAACCTCCTTCCAGCAACTTCTGCAGTCTAGCTGGTGCCAAATGTATTGCTCTGCTTTCCTTTGGACATCAGAGGGGCCAAGGAGGGGGGTCTTGTTCTCTGGGAAACACTGGATAACCATGCACACTGCCCAGGTTTGCTCCTCAAGGAGTTGACTTTGGTTCTGCTAACGCAGCAAAAACATGGAAGGAAGCCGTGGCAAGTTACTGGTCTCTGCAGCCACAGCAGGCGCTGTGATTCTCCAGCAGTTTGACTTCACCCCCCAGAGGTGCACTCCATTGTATCTCAAGGCAGATGGGTGCCAACAACAACGATTCTGCAGGACCATAATACTTTATGAAAAGAATGCAGACTTTAGGAAATGGATTTTTTCAAAAAAGCTTTTATCCTCTGCCATGACTAAGGGTTGTAACCACAACATTATAGCATTATGGGGTTGTTGTTTTTTAACAAGAAAAAACATACTACAGTCAGAAAAGTGTTTTAGTGATATTTAAATGATTGGTTTCAGAAACAAAAATTATGCCCGCGTCATAAAATGCACCCATCACAAATGTTATATGTGCTGAGCTGTGATTAAGGTCACTTTCCTGATATCTCACTTCCTACGTAAAAACCATGCCTGTTGAAAAATATGGCACATTAGGCAGCTATGCCCATGGAGGTTGTGTTCTGAATAAAGATGGACTTTCTTCAGTCTGAGAAAGATGGATGCACCACATGGAAATTCATGATGAGAATAATTGGATGACGGTATTGTGTGGATTCCCCTAAAAAGTGAGTGAGTGAAGCATGACAATTCTGCACTAAACGCCTATGGTTGTATCCAGTGTTCATAATGCTCAGAGTATACCTATTGAAATGAATGGACATGACTGAGGTCCACCAATCTCAAGGGATCTACTCTAAGTAAAAATTAATTGGCTACAGCACCTAAAGTTGGGGTATGTCTGCATCAGCGCTGCTTGTTGCATTGCTTTTCATTTCAATTTGCTGCTGGGGGTACAACCTACACAGGTTTCATTTTCTTCAAGCTCCAAAAAAAATTCATGCAAAGGAGGTGGTTGGCATATGATGCACATTTGCCAGTTTGTATTCCACATCTTGGCCTTCTTGCTAGTCTTTGTCTTGCCCTTTATCGCTTACTAGTCTCTTTTCTATACTGGTAAAATTGCACCATATGCCAGCATTCCTCTCTACCTTATTTAATTTCATCTGCGAACTTCTTTTAGTAGAACCTAAACCAGAGTGCTTTGCAATCCTCACTTGAAATTCCTCCTCCCCTATTTGGGGCAAATTGCATCAAATTTAGAGATGTGCATAAAGGCGAAAATGTGCTGATTCTATGTTTATTCACATTTTAATAAACAATTCTCTGAGGAGTAAGTCCTTCTGTAGGAGGGGGGTGCTCAAAGATTATCTCCCAAACCCATAAATGACAGGAATGAAATGAAGTGAATGAAATGTGACAAGAGTTTTGGCCTGGGGAAAGGAGTGTAGTCCCACAAGTAATCTTCAAACATTTTCTACACATATGTGCTTCCTCTTCTCTCAGACTTGAAAAAAGTTAGACACAACTCCACCCTACAGCTCCAGAAACAAGATTAATTGGGGGGGGTGGAAATAGCAATGCATCTTGGGTAATTGGATGCATATTCACAAAAACTTGCTAATTTCTCGTCCAACAAGGTAAGAGACCTTTCTTCAAATTTATCATGGAAAGATTTATCCTGGAACTTTTCACATGAAGTACTCTTAATTATTTTGGGTTGTATCCAAATTCTGGTCCTATTCAGAGCAGACCCGATGAGATTAATGGATTAACTTAGTTGGGTACAAGATTTATATTAATTAATTAATTAATTAATTTCAGGATTTTTATCCTGCCCAACAACATTAATATCTGTAGACAACTTATAAGGCATAGGAGATGGAGGAAGACACAAATAGGAGTAGTTCTTAGCAGTGACAAGATCACAACCAGATGATCTTATACACCCTTGAGGACTTCAGTCATACTAGATACGATCATCATGCCATTAGCTCTGGCACAGACACTCCTGTTGCTGAATACATTTTGGGCACTGAACAAAATCCTGAATGTCTGTTTATAGGCTTGTTTTTGAAGCATAGTAAACCCAAAACACATCTTAAAACTCAATCAATAGCAGTATTGCAGACTTGGGTACTGGCAAGAGCAGGAACGTCCACAGTCAAGGGGCAGCCCTCAAGGACATTTCTATTTGGGGTTCCTCATAAAATTATGGCTGCGAAGTTAATGCATAGTGAAAAAAGCTCTTTCAGCAAGTAGCTGGGTATGAACTGGTTGGATGAGAAGGGCACATATGTGTTCAAAAAGCAGGCTTCCTTGGGAAAATAAGCAGAAATCAAACACATTTCAGATATTACCTGAAGGACCACTGAGCAAATGCATAAGTGTCTTCCACCTTCAGCTGCAATGGCAGCACTTCCTGTCAATGCCTGAGAAGGAACCTCAGCAAAAAAAAGAATAGTATGTTGGCTGTAGATATGGATGGATACAGCTGGAGCACGTTTCCATCTGCAAGTGTCCTTTTCAACATTACAGGAAGTGCCACCAGCCAAATGCTGAAGAGCCAATTGGCTTCTCGAAAGAGAGTTATGTCATGGTTCCCCAAAGCACGACCGAACAGAATATGCAAAGGTCCTTGTTTGAAAGTTTAGTCGCCCTCCAGGTGGTGGTGGCGGCGGTTGTTTAAAGTCATCTCAGGAAGTTCCTGACATTTGCTGACGTTCTCCCTGACAGAACCATGAGTTCATTGATGAGCAGATGTTTGAGCAGAACTGTCTGGAGAGCTCGATGCAGAATTACCCGTCCAGCCGCAGCCCCTCCCTTTCGAGCCACCAAGGCCTGAGCACCTCCTGCTGTTCCCGCCGCAGCAAGAAGACAACCCACCTCCCTAATTCCAGTGTGCCAGCGACCCGGCTGCGGAGCATGCAAGAGCTCAGCACCATACACATCCAGTGCAGTGAGCAGCCCTCACTTACAACAAGGTACGGTAGGAGGAACCCCCTGGTCTAGGAAAGAGGGTTTAAGCAGACATGTCTCTGAGCCCAAGCAAGTTCATCCAGGCAGTGTGTTGAGCTGGTGTCCGGGATGTTTTTCCCATGCCACAAGTCCAGCGTAGCAGAGCTGAAATGAAATTTAGTGCAAATTGGAAGACATTTTTAAAATCGTCCATGAGGATTTGCACTGCGCATTTTCACATTCTACCGGGGGGGGGGGTTTACAGATACAGAAAATGAGTGTTTGGCACCTCCCTGTGGGGAGGTAGATGTCTCTACTCTCAGCATTACTGTATCATGGCAGTTGCTAGGAAGCAGATGGCTGGTAATGCTAGGATTAAGAATCTACAAATAACCATTTCCCCTAAGCAGTTTCAGGCACCATATAGTAAGCTTTTAAGTGGCTAGCATGTGACACCCAGGCATCTGAATCTACCTTTCTTTGGTGATTTCCGCCATGGACATTCGTAAGGCCCATTCAACGTGGCGAAACATCGCAATTTTCTGCCTCCTGAAAAACGTTCAGAAAGTGAGTCAGATGTGGAGAGTTGCCGTCTGGAATCATATTAAGCATTGCAAGACTATTAAAAATACCAACAATTCACTGTGAAATAAACTCTTACATAGGCCAACATGTTGTTGTGTGAATCAGCCTACAGTCAGGGCAGCTTATGTCAAAAGCAAATGAGATCTAGTATAATGTTTAAGGAGAAAGCAGTCAAGCCTACACTGCTGGAAGAGAAAGATAATTTTAACATACACTTGCCATTGCTGCATAATAAGCAGAAATGAGCAGCTGCAGATCTTATTGCCAGGGAGATGCTGTTCTGGGGAAAAAATGATACCTGCTAATATTTTCCTGTTATGCAACTATTAAATGAAATGAGGACGGTATATGGGTTAGGCAAATGTTCATATAGGAATAATCTGAAATATATATTGGTTTGATTGTAGATCATGTGGTTGTGTTCAGCAGGAAATAGGTGATAACTGAAATTTCTTAATTCTTAAAAATTGAAGTGGCAAAAGAAAGTGCAGCAGTGTTGTGAGTGGGTCGATTTCTTCACCCCACATTTAATTTGTGCATCTGCTTCAGGCTAAGGACATATAGGATAATACCAAACCGTTCTTTGCACTTTTTTAATGTGGCTCATACTATTTCCTAAGCTTATTCTGCCATCTGGACCCTTCCCAACCCAACACTGACACCTGCACAGCACACAGATCCCCCTGTTGGGGGATATAAAATTAATAATTCTGTGGCCCCTCCTAAAACCACATACAAGTAGTGATGCTACCAGAATACAAAATCATTCAGTTCTCAAGTCAGATTTTACTATGCTTATGATTTTCAAATGGATAATGAGCCCTGACTTCAATCCAACAAACTGTTTTCATCATTCAAATGAGAATGACTGCAATTTCTACACCTGTGCAAGGGAGCATTCTTAGAATTTTTGCTGCAATATGAGGTGACCTGCCAGACCCTTTTCTGAAGAAGACCAGAAATGTCCCTGGAAGTGCAATCACATAGCAATGTTTCCAGGATCTGTATGGAAAGGGGGAGAAGATGGCTGTCCCATGTCATGATGTGGGGCAGCCATTTTTTTGGCTCACAGACTATCTTGTATTATGCAAGTTTACATTTGAAATTACTTTGAAATCTTATAACAGAGAGAGCTCTGAATTGCTGATGTTAGGTTCAAAACACAGTGAGCAAATCGGGAGTTGTCTGCAATATTTCTATCTCACCTTTCTGCCTGGAAACTGGCCTGCAAGGCAGCTAACACTGTAAAAGCCCACACCTATAATAAACACAATAATAACACAATAATAAAATTATTTTAAAGACAGTAATAACCTTATTTTATGAAGACTCTGGGAGGAACCTGTCCTGCCTCCAGCCATCCCCTCAAAGAGCAGGTTCCTTTGGTCTCAGCAGCTGCCCTTGCACATTCAACACAGCACAAGGTTAGGTAAAGGTAAAGGGACCCCTGACCATTAGGTCCAGTCGTGACCAACTCTGGGGTTGCGGCACTCATCTCGCTTTACTGGCTGAGGGAGCCAGCGTACAGCTCCCGGGTCATGGGGCCAGCATGACTAAGCCACTTCTGGCGAACCAGAGCAGCACACGGAAACGCCGTTTACCTTCCTGCCGGAGTGGTACCTATTTATCTACTTGTACTTTGACGTGCTTTCGAACTGCTAGGTTGGCAGGAGCAGGGACCGAGCAACAGGAGCTCACCCTGTCGCAGGGATTCGAACCGCCAACCTTCTGATCGGCAAGTCCTAGGCTCTGTGGTTTAACCCACAGCGCCACCCACGTCCCAGCGCAAGGTTAGCTGAATGCAAATGTGCAGAGTAGGAATTTACCCCAGATTGGCTCCAGATTATTCTTTATCTTTTATCTGCTCCATCAGGACAATGGTAGTTAGCATTCACTGGTGATGAAGTTAGGTAATAGGATCCTGGCCACAACAGAGTGGGGAAAGAAGTGAGAGAGCAATCGCTGGAGAGCACCTAGAGGCACTGAGATGGGGGAGACAGTGGCGTAAGAAGGGGGAGTGCGGTGGGTGCAGGCCGCCCCCGGTGCCATCACTGAGGAGGGGTGACAAAATAGCAAAAATATTTGTTTTAGTAAAAGTAACTCCCGTACCCACTGCACCCCCCTTCCTACGCCACTGCAGGAGCACTCTCCCCTCAAGATATTTCCAGAAACCAGCATTGCTGCCTCCAACTTTGCAGGCAGAGCACAGCCTTTATGGCTAGTAGCCTTCGACAGCCCTCTCCTCCATGAATCTGCCTAATCCAGAGGTGTAGCTAGGTGAGGCAAGGGGGCACTGGGCATCACACCTTTTCTTTTCTGCAGCTTGTTTGCATTATGCAATGCAGCCAGAACTTTGGGCCTCTGGGGAGCAACACAGCTAGAAGTCTGACCAGAAAGAGTCAGATGCAGACAAGGAGATGGGGTCTTGCTCCCCCATAAATGGAGGGAGGCAAAAGCTTGTTGCCTGCACCCAAAGGTTTGCAAGCTCTGAAGTTCCATATTTTGGGAAGATTGTCTCCATAAAATAAATAAAGCTGTAGCCTCAGTTCAACCTAATGATATGTGCCTTGCCTCTTATTTTGGGTGTGGGTACAATTGGCAACCGGCAAGAGCACTGAACCATTGTAAGGATCCTACCTAGAATGACACAGGTTTCAGAAGATCCTCTTTGTAAGTCACTCTAAGATTACAGCCAGGGTTTCATACTGAAAGAGTTTTTTGTCTTTGTATTGAAATCCAGATAGGCAGTTGGCTAGAGAGCAACCCTATCATTTCCACTCCATAATTAATCATAGGATGCAACCAGTGCAGCTCTTAATAGGAATGTTTCTAGCTGCCAAGCCCTTAGGACTTCTGCAGAGTGATATTTGAGCCAGGCAAGGAGTAAAGAGACAGAATGGCAGCCAGGTAATCTAGGATGACCTGTAAGGGTAGACATGCTGCAGAAACAAAAGCAGGATTAACCATTAATTGGGCAGAATATTCAACAGCTAGACCCAACAAGATAGGATTCCATGTTGACGTTAATCAGTGTGAAGAATGAATCTGTGTTGTTCCCTATTTAGTTGCTTTTAGATCAGCTATGGGCAATATATGTGTTTTTCTTGGCTAGTCCTCAATTACAGGTTGGAGGAGGTCGCAGTCTCCCATTTTTACTGTCCAGGTATTTTGGGTGGCAAGGGTTTTTTGTTTTTCTTTAACTGTGCCTTTAATACCTACCTCTTGAGCAGAAACTCATTGGGTGACCTGTATGCTGTACGCCGGCTCCCTCGGCCAGTAAAGAGAGATGAGCGCCGCAACCCCAGAGTCGGTCACGACTGGACCTAATGGTCAGGGGTCCCTTTACCTTTTTATCCAACACTTGCAACAAACAGCTTGCAACTTCTGCTCCTTTTAATCCTCCCCACCCCACCCCCTGGCTGTCTTTTGTCTTTTAGTCGATCCAGCCTAAATATGAAATCAGACGATGGGCTGAGACCGAACTGCAAAGCCTCCCAAATAACTACAGCAATCATCAGCATCCCGACGCCTCCAGCACTGACCCCAGAAGGCGAAAGCAGGCCTGCCCCATCCAGCCCCGGCCACTCAACGAACATTACCGCTACGAGCAGCAACATTGTCAAGGTGTCGGCTTTGTAAGGCTGTGTCGGTCAAAGGAGGCTGCTTGGAAGGCCGGCGTTTCTCTCCCTTTCCCCACCTCCATGTTCCTCCTTTGCTGCAAATTGTGCCTAGATGAGTGGCTGGGTGGACAGCTAGACCAACCTGACCGGCATCTAAGAATTAACTGCGGGAGCCTGGCAAGGCAGCTTCCTTCAAACTCACGTTCATGCTGCAGAGTGAGCTCAGAAGAACTGGGAAGCTAGAAGGGGCTGGATGGAAGGAGCTCTCTTTTGTCTGTCAACAAGAAGAAGAAATGTTCCCGGCTGTGGGGCATAGAAGAGTTTCCAGAAAGTGGAAGAGACGTCCTGTCATAGCTACGAGAAAGTCAATAAAGAAGCAGAATTATAACACTGTGTATCTCAGCACCTTTTCAATGGTTTTTAATGGATAATATTTATTCATGAGGATATGACTGAAAAAGGTGATTAGAAAAAAAAAGGATTTTGTGATTATTATTATTATTTCCTTCATGCAGCAGGATCTTTTAATCAACCAAAAGTACACATTTGCTTTCTTTTATAGCTGAAGGTTTTAGGCAAAAAAAGAAGAAGAAAAAGCCACCTTGTCACGAGAATTTGGTTTTCATTCTTTTGTGAGTGCGTGTGTGGGTGAGAGCAAGCAAGAGGATTTGTGAAACTTGGCACACTCCGACTACAAAAGATCTGAGCACACTTTCCTGTTTCTGGGCTCAACCCTGCAAAGACGTACCATCTGCATGGTCCACGACAAGCTTTAAGTAGTGCCTGTAGAGCCAGGGGTTCTACTCACTGTGTACCCTTTTCTTGCATGAGTGTGTCTTTGCAGGCTTCAGCCTTTAGTGCGCAGTAGCAAAAATAGAGACCTGCATGCAGTCACACACACACAAGCACCAATAAAACTCTCATTGTGGATGGCATTCTTTCTTAAGACAGGGTTTTGTTTTTTTCTGTAATTGCCTTTTAATTCAACACAAATTGCAGTTGCAAACAGTGTATTTGTCTGCTAATTATTGTATGTGCTGGGGGGGGGAATATTTGTTGGGGAAAAGACAGGCATTTGTAGTCCACCACAATTTTCTGCTTTTAAAAAAATTATTTTGTTATCACTGGCTTGTAAAGAGTGTGACTAGAATAACCAGTTCTGTATTTTTTAAAAAAGTCTAAAGAAGTAAGCCTAGGGGGGATTTTATTTTTTAATCTTGTACACACGAGTTTCAAAGAGGGCAAAATCAGTCAAAGCAACTGCGCCAGATGTTCAGAAATACTCTGTAATCTATGCCCATGCTTTCTTTCTTTTTTCTGTTTTATATGTGTTTATTTAATAGTATTGGAAGTGTCTCCCATTGTATATAGTAGCCAGATAGTCAGTGGAAACTGTCCTTGGTAGGATTACTTCAGGAGCCAACTATTTTGCATGGACTGATAGTGTGTTTCATTTTGTAATACAGTCCTGTGGCTCTTAGTGACAGTCTCTGGGTTGCATCAGTTTGATGGATAAAGCAATTTAACAATATTTGACTTTCCCTTGTTAAAGCATCATTTCCTGCCAAAGAGGAGGATCGCTTCTAGATTGTTGGGATCTACTTTATATTAGAGTACCATTTCTAAGCAATTTATAAAACACTGTTAATAGATGGTTAAATATGTTTCAAAAATAGTTCACCAATTGTTAAAATATTGTTATACTGTTTAGAAAGCGTAGGACTGTGAGTCATAACCAGCTATAAGGTTTTATACCGATGTTCTCATAATGTACCTCCCCTGGGTGCAAACCTGTGGGACTTCTATCCATGTCAACAAGGCTTACAATAATGCAGAGCTCTGTGGATTGTGTTCTTTCGTCACAAATTTTACACGATTTATTAACCTTTTCGGACTCATTTAACCTTTCAATTTTTTTCCAAATGTATTTTAGGTTGTGTATCCCATAATGTCTTTTGCAGCTTTGCAGCTTTCATTTTTGGCAAACCATCACAAAATGTGGCCCAGAATGTTTTTGATCCTGAAATTGTGTTGCTGTGAAAACAAGGAGGTTTTGCAAACCCAACATCATGTTCAGAAAACATATAATAAGCAGCTCCAATGGGGGGGGGGAATCGTCTTTATTTTCAGACTTCTATTCTGATTTGCTTTTCGGCATCTAAATTAAAAGCATTGAGCAAATAGTGCTTGGAAGCCACAAAAAGGAATAAAAACAGCTAGGTCTAATGAAATGTACCTTTCAGCCAAATAAAATTAAAACTTAATGTAACGTATGATCACCTACTAACAACAAACTTGTTTCTTAGTTTATTTCTTTTTTTCTCAGATACCTTATAGTGCTATGTTTTTGTTTATTCCAAAACCCCTTCCATCTTCAGCTTTCAAACAAGGAATTTTGGTGCATTGGCCACAGAATCCCTTGCAAGCTCAATCCTAGAAGACAACAGGTGATGCCAGGTGACAACCAAGCCAGTTAGGTCTACATTGTCCTGCACATACTGAACGTCCACCTTAAAACATTCAACTGTGTCACTGTGTTGTAAGGAAAAAATGGCAATGGTGGACATGTGAACTTGTCCATCATGAAACAGATTCAGGTGGATAGCCGTGTTGATCTGTCATAGTCATAATAAATAACAAGATGAAAGATGAAAAAATATTTTTTTAATAATTCCAGTGGCACCTTAAAGATCAACTTCCCTCTGGGACCAACTGTTATAACAGTCATCAACAGTTATAAGGTTGAAGCGACCTCTGCTTCAGAGTATATGACGAAGTGTGTATTACACACAAAAGCTCATACCTTGAAAGCTTATATTTAGTTGATGTGCCACTGGAATTATTAAAAAATATTTTTTCATCTTGTTATTTATTATCATCATGAAGTCTTCTCATCAAGAAATTCCCAGTAAGCTTCTGAGGAACTGAAGGTTCCAAGGACACAGTTTTTAAAAGCCACTGTTCTAGTAATATGAGACAGGCCTTAATTTACCCCCTAATGTTTGTCCAAGAACCCTTTTCAATACCACAGTTTAGCCTTGGAACAAGTAAAGGATGTGCCTTTTGAGTGTCTGCAGAGTAGTATCTCTCCCTTATCCCCAGTCCCACACATCTAGGATTAGGGGAAAGGTTTGTGGGCCAGTGGCGAACAAATAAACTTCAGCTCTCGTACCTCTGATTTCAGAAATTAAGTACTACATTGTCCTTGAGTCCAATCATTCCATTATCTCATGGGTGATCCTGTTTAATTCACTCCGGTGAAAGCAAACTTTTGCCATTTCCCTTGTGAAACTGGTGCACAGTCTATGAGAACTGACCCATAAGAGTCTCTGTGATGCCCAATTTAAACTTTCCTTTGCTTCGTTTAACTTCATCACATCTCATTATACCTCTTGCCTAGTCAATTTGAAGCTTGATCCTTCACTAGCCTCGCCATATTGCATTGACTTTTTACATCTGTGCAAAGGGAGGCTAAAATGCAGGGTGTCCTTGCACATGCAGGATATGTCACAGAAGATCGTCGCAAGATCGCAGATTATGTAATTGGTATAAAATGAGAGTTTATATGGGGAGAAGAGCCTGGCTTCATTAAGCCGCAGTCCAATACTAACCAGTCCTTCTATAAAAACTTCTACTCCCATCTCCAATGCAGAGTTGTGGTTCTTATCATGCATGGCCCACGGGATGATATAGAAAAGGACCGCCTCTGGCTCTTCTGCCTCCCTGCACCATGGCAAAAGTGTCTTTGTTCAGCAGCATTGCAGGGAGGCAGCAGGCAAATGTGGGTCTGCAGTAAGGTTGCGAGGGCTGAGCAAAGCATATAGGAACATAGCAACAGGTACTATGATGCCATTAACCATTGCAATCCATGACCAGTATGAGAAATCACAGCAAGTAGGCCAATACTGAATCATAACTAGTAGTCGCCAGATGAGATGGGGACCCTGTACCTTTCATATTCTGTAGAAGGCATTTTGGCAAGTGGAGCTTTTCATGCAGTTCTTTATAACTGACCATTCTAGAAGAGTGTGCCTTTACTTCAAGAATTCAATGTTTCTTGGTTTCTTTGTATGGCTCCAGCAAATCAGAACGCCAGAATATTCAAATTGGCAAACTGGAAAATTGGTATTTGGCAGATCAGGATCTTTATTTCAATATTCTGATGTTTTCATAATTTGGTTTTTCTTACAAGCCTCCAAAATGAATTTGTCTGCATCAAACCCACAAATGTAAATGTGGGTTCAATGGTCGCTTGGAAAATTGGCCTAGTCTCTTGGAATGATGGAATGTTACTTCTTTTTGCCCATCTATAGCATGACCTTGGCATGTGTGTGGTGCATTTGAGGGAGCACTTGAAAGTCCCAGGCAATATACCTCCTGCCAAAGACGTACAGAAGTACTAACAGTCTGCATCATCAACCCCCCTCCTCAAGACTTTAAGTTACCATCTTGCATACCATTAGTCTGCTGAAATCACATTGACTTCTATTGGATTTTAGCAGTGTAGCTGTAGGATGTGCAGCCTGTTATTTTAATAATAGTGGGAGGTAAATAATGTCTTTGCTCTGTGAAGGGCACAGGAGAATTACTCCTATGGAAAGGTTCGGAAAGGTGCATGAGTGCAATGCCCCTTCCATATATGCAAGGGAAGAACAGTGGATACTGTCTAATAACTCCAGCTCCTGGAGTCCCACAATTGGATGAGAAAAAGCAGCAATAGTTCCAAACCTGTTGGTTGTGTAGATGTGGTTTCTGTGCTACCCATCATTTTGCCTTTACTAGACATATCCAGCTATGTGTTTTCTCTTTCGTCTTAGAAAACCAGTGATCTAGTGCATTTTCCATCCCAAACTGGCTCTGAAACATTCATTTCTTCCTGCCACTTGGCAGTTGGCATCACATTTCATATGACTATTACTTTTCATAAGCAGAATTGGACAAAAATATTTCCCTGCATATATGGCATCCTATCGTACCAGCGTATCACGGCAAACTAAATGCTGACCATTCACTATTCCTGAAACACATAATCTCACTGCTGTCAGTCAGTATGATCCACAACTTCTCTTCACTTCTGCCAAGAGACCAGTGTGCATGAGAATTTTGAAAGTGTATGGCATTCCCCTGATTTTAGAAAAGGGATGTTCCTGAATATGCGGACATTAATGGGTATATTGGGGCTGATGTATCAGAAACAATGGGCACAATCCAAGTACTTTTAAGTCCCATTGACTTCAATAGATAAATTTAAAAATACAGTATGCTTACCATACCTACTGAAAGCAAAAGTACTTAACTTTGGATTTCAAATGTGACTACCTGAACATTCTCCCCCTGAAATATCATTGCCCTGCTTAATATCTTAGAACCTAGGGAATGTGACTTTAGTCTTACATTTTCAAGTAGGGGATTATGGGTCTTTTTACAATATTTGCAACTGTTTTGCTATGTATTGAGAAATAACTAAATAGACAAAATGTTAATCTGACTCATGTCTCTGAGCCCCATATATAATAGTTAGTTTTTCTCTCTCTCTAAATTCTAACAAACTCTACAGCAGATCGAAAACAGTAAAGCAAATCCAACTGAACTCATCTTTTCCATCAACACAAAATAAAAATTCTGTCTTGTGTTTTATATTTCCACCAAATTTTTCCATTTCTGAGTTTAAAACCATTAAACAAAGAAGAGGGACATGGAATCACCAAAAAGAGAAAAGCAATAAGAGGATTTTTTATTTTAAAATTTTGAAGAGTATTTCTTAGATGTACAAAACTTTTCTACAGAAAGGTGTCCTTTTTTTTGCAATTGATGTAATTGTATACAGATCTTCGGTTGGTTTGTATTACCCAGGAAAATGAGTTCTTTTTAAATCAGTAGATAATGAACTTATTGTTCTCTTCCCTCTCAAAAACTAGTCAGTCATAGGAAAGTGAACTGTCTCCTTGTAACTCAGGTTTTCAATAGCAATGGCCATAGACAAATGTCACCTCCAGTGAGGTACTCTCTCTAGATTGGTTCAGTGATTAGGGCTACTATCCTCTATACACTTTATGTAGGAGTAAGTCCCATTGAACTGAGTAGGACTTCTGATTAAACATGCTTAGGATTGTGCCGTAAAACTGTTGATCAGAACTTCTGTTCATGACTCACTGTGTCTCCTGGAACAAGCCACTCTGACTTTTTAACGTCTCAGTATATCTACCAATAAGATTCAGGTAGTTTTAAAAATAACTTCCTCTCTAGTTCAGTGCTAAATTTATGATCATTTGGTTAACTCAATTAAAACTCTTTAATAAGTATACAAAATGTTTTCTGGAGGGGGGATGCCAAATAAGATGTCTCATTATTTAGAGCAATTACTGATTGGAGAAGTTGGTTTTTAAGGGAGACAAATTGTTGGAAATATACCAATGGCCGTTAATCAAGATGATCAGCATTTTTTAACTCTTAAGGTGGGCACACTGTTTAAATCAAACATTGAGGAACAGAGGGACTGTCATTACTCTGTGATGTTACACTCTGAAGCCTTCAGCTATGACAAATATCAAATAACCAGAGTAAGATCTGCACTTCCTTTAGGCTATAAGGGGAATCATCAAAAGAAGAAAGATATCTTTTGTGGATGGTTCCTCACGATGTCAGAGATGCTATGAGAAAAAAGGGGACATGCAGGTCAAGGTGTCTTCATCTCCAAGTCCAGATTGAGTGAAATGGACACAAAGATGGAGAAGTCCATTGTCGAGTGGAATTTCAGGAACCACAGGGCTAGATTTACTGTTGACCTAACACAGCACGACAGTTCTTTTGTTTTTCTTGTCTAATTATTGTAGTCATCAGTCATGGGACCAAATGACAAATAATCCTCTAGTCTTGCTTTCAGTCAAAGGTTTCATAATTTTGTGCGTATGTGCGCATATGTGTGTATTGCTTTCTTTTCCTTTGCAGACTAATGCTTGCCACGGCAGGTCAAACAGCCATGCAGCTGAGAGATTAAGATCCATAGTATATCCTTTTCTCAGTTCTCTGTTGTTACCATGACTGGAGTTGCAGCTGGCTCCATGGACCAATGAAATATATTACAGAACATGTGTGATGGTATATTTTTGATAAATCAGTGAGACATTCCAATGCAATGGTGTTTGCGCTAGAGGTTTTATGTTGTTACCAGAATTCTCTCTCAATTGCATTATTTTCTATTTTCATACTCTAAATGGGCTTTGCTTACAAATCATCACAACCAACTGAGACAAAATTGTACTGTACAAAACTGCAGGTAGATTCGTTTCAGAAAAACTTTCTAAAGAATCCTAAGTTTCCTGTTGTCTTCTTTTGAAACTGTAGTGCATATGTTGAAACTTGTATATCATTTACAGTACTGCGTCTTGTGCCACTGCTGTACCTGATGTATCCAATCTGGATTAAATGGAATATGTGCCACAAAGCACTGAACTCTTGCTGTAGATTTCTTTTAACTGGGATCTCTAATGAGATTTAAAGCAGCTGATGGCTTTAACAGTAAATCCACTAAGTCTAGCGCCATTTCTTGCAATGCCCAGACAGAATAGCCCCAGAAGTCCACAAGCAGGGTCAGAAAACAATACCCTCTCCAACTGTTGCCCTTCCCTCCTTCCCAACAACTGGTATTCAGCAGTATAGTTCTTAATGTTCTCTAATTAGTCACCATAGCTAATTGCAAATGATAAGCTTATCCTCCACCTTTTTTCTAATCTCCTCCTAAAGACATCTTGGGACAATGAATTCCATCAAACTATACACTTTTCTTAGGCAGTGGATTCAGGACAATCAACTTCTTAGGTGTCCAGAGAACAACTTCCTCCTGCTCCCCACCCTTGCTAGGGAACAGGCCCATGCACTCTTTTTTGGGAGCATGTACCAATAGCATCTATACTTACATTCGCAGGACCACCATAGTCCAGAATTAGGGAGGTTGAAAGACTCACTGCTGGTATAGCCTTTTTTTCTTCCTCTAGTACTTCTGCTATTTAAAATATGCACTAGGGAGCTTGATCAGCCTTTACTAGGGCTGCAATCACTTCAGTCATAGAACTGATACATATCCCCAGGCTACAGCAAGGGTGGGGAACATTTTTAGTCCAGTGGGCTAGACTGTTATCTACCCCCAAGCCTCTGTGGGCAAAGTCTGACAGGTGGGCAGAGCCAAGCACCTATCAATCACAGTACCACAAGGGCATCAGCTGACCTCTTCTGCAGGCAGGTTCCTCATAAACCCTTTAAAGGCATTAGTTTGTACAGTTCTTTGAATAAGGCTTTGCAGGTTTTTCACTGAGCCAGGTTTTACCTGCTACACAGCTGGCATCTTATCAGGTATAGGGCAGGTGGGCATGACTTGGCCTAATTAGACCCATGGACCAGAGGTTCCCCACTCTTGGGCTGGAGTACTTCATTCATATATGCTATAATATACAGTAAAATGTGTTGCTAGTTGTGTGAATACCTTCAGACGACTGCAAAGTTATCCCAAAACTACTCCAAAGTTTTTCCTGTGCAACACCCAACCATGGATTTGGGGATCAGTGCAAGCCTGTAGGCGGGAACTGTGCTGTTTTCTTAATCTTTATACAACACCTAGAAAACGTTTAACACCCAGGCTGTTTAAAAATACGTAATTCTCCCCTATATTTCATAGACTGCAATTAAAGTACCTGTCATGTGCTACAAACACAACTAAATATAAAATGCATCTTCAAAACTGTCACAGAACTGAAAGCTGAAAACATCTATTGAAAGCTATTTGACTCCATTACAATATACTGAAGTACACCTGGCTCTGACTCATTTAATATTCTCACAACTCAAAAAATCCCACGTGGAATACAAGGAACAAGAAGGAAAGTATCAAAAAGCTTACAGAAGTTTGAACAGTTAATAACTGATCAGCAAAGAACATACATTTAAGTAACAGGAGGAAAACCTGAATGGAGGCTATGACCCAATTGTGATACTTTGGAGAAGTAGAAGAGGTCCAATATGGACACAGCTGAAAAGTGGATAATCCCAGTATTGCTGATGAATGAAAAGAGTCAACAGCTTCCAAGGAATTTTCATAATTCAGCAACAGCATTAGTATAGTATTCCTTCTGCATGTTGCAAGTCATATATTCCACTAGGTGGCACCTATTTTTCTGTTTCCATTGTGAAACACAGATCCGGTAGGATAAAAAGCATGCTTTTATATTAAAAACTACAGTTGTTGTGTGTCAAAAAGCTACTTCAACAGTTAAGTATCTCAGCACCTCCATTAAAGGTCTTAGGTAATGCCTTGCTGGAACAGAAAAAGGATACTAGTATAGTATTTGATCCCAACAGCAACCACCTGTTTGTGGAAGCTTGTGGAAGCTCACAAATAGGATACGCAGATGAGTGCCTTTTGCTGTGCAACCCAAGTACAAGCATTCCCAACCTTTATGAGTACAAGGAACTCTTTACCATCAACACCTTTTCAAGAATGCCACGTTAATTGTAATTTTAGGCTCTTATTTGAGGGGAGGAATGACAAAAAATTATTATGAACTTAATGTGGTAAAAAGAAAAACTGCAGGGTGTGAACATTATCAACCTGTGCAGGAACTGAAATAACAAGACAGAGGGGTATGTCTCCCTGTACACCATTACTCATGCGTTTACCCAGTCAGTCTCCCATCACATCATGGTTTTGCATAGGATATAGAGCAGCTGAAACAAAGCAGGGCAATTAGCTGCAGTTAATATGCAATTTCATTTCTAATTAAAGTTTTCCATTATGCATGGCAGGCCTGATATTGGTATCCCCTGGAGTACCATCCAATTATGATAGTTTTTAATATTATTATATATGTTAAAAATCCTATCACATCGCTAAACCAATCTAGCTCAAAAAGTGTTATTTATACAGTTTTAATTAAGATTTATTTAAATCAGCAACATGTGTTAATTGAGATATGCTTTTTTATTTATGCCACTTCTAAACAGAAGGAAGCACTACAGCTGTGGTACGCTAGGAGTCTTGTCGTTTGAAATGATAATTGATTAAAAGGAAGTAGGGAGTTGTCAATTAGAAAGAGGTGGTAGCTTACCCCCAGTGGATAAGTCTTTTCTGGAAATTCCCCAGCTTTTCTGGAAATGACCAAGTTGGTCACGCCTTTTTCATAATGTTATTGATCATGGTATCACAACTTGCCTCCTACCCCACAAACTTTGGGCCAATCATTCTCTGTTAGCCTAAGTTACTGCATTTCTGTGAGGACCTTCAAAACAAATGAAATAAAGACATTTTGCTGTCCTTAAAAAAGGAAAAGCCAAGATTTCAAGTACGTACTTGTTATAGATATGCTGAACTGTACATATACAGAATGCAAACAGAACAATTTTGGGGGCCTTCACAGTAGTCGCACCCGCCCTGTGGAACGTCCTCCCATCAGATGTCAAGAAACAACTGACTTTTAGAAGACATCTGTAGGCAGCCCTGTATTATTTATAATGTCTGATGTTTTAGTATGTTCTGATATATGCTGTGAGCCACCCAGAGTGGCCGGGGAAATCTAGCCAGATGGGTGGGGTATTATTATTAATAATAATAATACAATAAAGAAGGCTCTAAGAATGAACTTCATCAAGAATAGAAATCATACCTGAGATTTTTAAAAAATAAGTATTTTCCAACTTTAAAGAGATTGCTTTCTAAAGTTTCTTTCTGACCCATTTCTCAAACAATAGTTTAAAGTTCTCACCAAGCTTAAGGGAAACTGTAAGGTCTAAACAGAATCTCTTGAGATCTTTAAGCATTTTACCTTCTCCATCCTATGAATGAGAAGTTATTTGCCCCTGTTACCCACAAAGGCCTTCAGAAACTAGCATTCTGGACAATTAGGCTCCATTTTACCTCTCAAAGAATGAGTGCTATTTGCTGGATGGGAATACAGGCATTTTAAGATAGATTAGTCCCACAACTCAACTGAGATTACAGAGAAATAAGAAGAAGTGGCCATATATTTTGGTACATCTGACACCCAGAAATGAGCATGTTAACCTCTGTACAAATTAAAATGCTCACCATACATGAGGGAAAAAAGTAAAGGCAGTAATCTTTTCCAAGTTCATAACCCAAAATAAATGAGAACAGTAATCTACAACAGATTTCTCATGCATCTTATGCCAAGAGTAAATCAGTATCAACATAAAACACTATTTTCATACTATTTATTAGCAATACTATTGCAGCATTTCACCTTCTGGAAAGTATACAAAACAGTATATACATGGAATAAAGAAAATATGTGAGTGTAAACAGAAACAGAAAGGTGATTTAAGATTCCACTAGTAGGTTTTGGGTGGCAGGAATTCCCATTATCTGTTACCGCGCAACAACTCTTCAAAATAGATTGCATTGGCATGATAAGCAGTTAGTAAGTTTGATGGTCGCTGATACATTTGGTAGTATGAACGAGAAGCTTCTGCATAATGGTCCCGCCAAGCCCGGTAATATGCTCGCCAGTATTCCTCATAACTCCGATCTTCACCCTCAGGGAAAGGAGTAGGTTTGACTTCAGATACACTTTTTAAATTCTTGCTCTTGGAAGGTTTGGTGGTACAACAGAAGCGGCTTTGATTGCTCTGTTTTACATTCTGTTCCTTTATCTTCTGTAGCTGAGGACTCTTTTGGAACTGTGGTGGTTCAGGGACACCACTGAACTGCGAAACACATTTCTGATCTGATGTCAGCGCACCATTGTCTCTTTGTTGTGTATCTGAAGATGCTTTACTATATGACTGGTCCTCCCAGCTAGAGGTGGATGACCCAGAACTGTAAGAGCTACTATCGCTATCAGAGTCTCCTGTCAATACATGAGCTTTTGCAGCATGCAAGCTGGATTCTGTTTCGGTATAAATTCTATTAGTATCACTTTCTGGGTGTTGATGCTGCTCTCCTGGGCCTGTATAGCTTCTTACTATTTCCACTTCTCTCTCTGAGCCTTCTTTAATGAAGTATTCATAATCCTCAATGAACTCCGCCATGCTCCATGTGCTGGTGGACTGCTGGTCCTTAAACGATGATAAGCAAGGGATCTTGGGAAGCATGCTTTTTAATGTTTCCCTGTCCATCTCCTCGTTATGCTTTCCAGAAGTCTGAAGACAAGGCTCTATTTGGCGCTTCTGCTGAGTGATACTATGGGAAGACTGTTGCTTCCTGGATATTTTTGGTTTTGTATCCTCCATTCTTGTTTTAAGTAATTGCTTCTGTTTGAGGGCTTGTTTTGGCTTGGCTGCAACAGAATTTTCACAAACAACAGGAGCACTGGTGCTTGCTGTTGTGTGCTGCATGGTCGCCTCCGGTCTCTTAGCTGGCAGCAGAGATGCATGCAGTGAAGCATTGGGATATGGGACAGCAGTGACTTCGACATCCCAGCCTTCAAACTGTTCCATGAGCCCAGGAGGTATAGGTTCTTCACAAGAGAAAAATGTTATTAGTCAAGAGCAACATACAGTATCTCTTTTCAAAGAAATTCTCCTAATCACAAATATATCTAAGTGACACCATCATAAAACATGTTTTGAATGCAAGCATTTGATTAAAAGCATGTGCCAGGTGTTTTTACTAGACAGTTTGTAGTTTAAAAATAAAAGAAAGATCAGTACATACAAAAGTATTGCTATAAGCCAAAAGATGTTACATAATGCCGTAAAATAGTCAGAGCTAAAGAATAATGATCCCATAAGCCAATGACTGGGTAAGTCCATCTAAAACAGTCAAATTTCTTATTTTGACAGCTTCCAAAAGTTAAGGTTTCACAACCTCTCTTGCTGAACTGCTCTGCCAGAAAGGAACATCTTCCTAAATCTATGTTCATCTTGTTTGGAAATATTGTTTCCTGTCCTCTTTAGAGCTTCTCGGTTTTTATACTGTTGAAGGTCACAAGGTTGTCATACTAAGCAGCTCCCTTATTTGACCAAATGCATTATTTATTTAGTGTCTTAATTACTGGGCTATTAATTATATTGTCAATGAATCTAGCTTTACTGGATAGCTCAGGTGGTAAAGCACGAGACTCTTAACCTCAGGGTTATGGATTTGAGCTCCATGTTGGGCAAAAAGATGACCCTTGTGGTCCCTTCCAACTCTACAATTCCATGATTCTGTGACTTTAAATGATTTAACAACTAAAAACTCTGGTACATTACTTTTCTGAAATAATTCAGTATTTCCACTCAGGAAACAATTAACTAAATATTTAAGATTCAGAATGTGCCTATGGTACAAACCTATACATAGTATAAAAAGAAACCCCCCTTAATTTAATGGGAGTTACTCCCAGGTAAGCAAGTACAAGACTGCAGCTTAACCACCTGCATCAACTCTGAAACATTTACTATAGCACCATTCAGAAGGACAGGGACAGAGAACTTGTGGCTCACCCACTGTTATTCAACAGCAAGCAGTGAATGACCAGGTGTGATGGGAACTGTACTTCTGGAGGGCCAGTTTTCCTGTCCCCATCTTCCCCGCATAAAGACATGCTCAAATTAATGCACCATGGTCCCACATACACCAGAAACACTTGTACCTGGTAAAGGAAGCAACCGAAGGTTACATTTCTGTGCAATTTTCATCATCATGTTTTCTTCTTCCCCACGGCAGCAATATGTCACTGCTAGCCCTAAAGTTCCTGTGACAAAGCAGAGAGATAAATCAGTTGGAAAGAGTTGTAGATCCAGCACCTGTCACTGCATAGCAAACTCAAAGCAGTATTTACCAAAGCGCCCAGCTCTGCCAATCCGATGCATGTATGTTTCCCAATCCAAAGGCACATCCAAGTTGATGACTAGATTCACCTTCTCAGCATCAATTCCACGGGAAGTCTGAGAGGAAGGATGGGTGAAGTTAAAGGTGGTAGTAAGGAGGAAACAAGCCAAACACAACATTTAGACTTCTTCAGTTGTTCCATGGTACCATGAATAAAATACCGCAGCCTCCCAATCAATTTACACACATTAAGACACAAAACAAGCCATTTGCTCTAGTTCCGAAGGACTACTTTTATTTATTTATTTATTATTTATACCCCGCCCATCTAGCTGGACTTCCCCAGCCACTCTGGGCGGCTTCTAACAAAATATTAAAATACAGTAACCCATCAAATATTAAAAGCTTCCCTAAACAGGGCTGCCTTCAGTTATCTTCTAAATGCTGCTGGGTGTGTTGCTCAAAAACAATTGCTTCAGCATAGTTTCATTACAGTAAGTGGGCACAATCCACAGAAGATCAGGAGCATTCAAGGCTTCCTAGGATGCATTAATGTAATTTTGCAATTTAAACCATTCTAATTTCAAGGCCATCTAAATGACGCTTCTCTGGGTCTTCCTCAATGAGACTACTCTGAAAATACTATGCTTTCATTTTTGCTCACAACTGTCTATACAAACCTTAATAGAAATATGCTGGAAGTAGACTAAACTTTGGAAAGACAAGAGCATGGGGAAAATATCTTCATCAAATAGTGGTTAGTATTTTCCTCTTCTCAAGATTGATTTACAACATATTTTAGTGTAAAGAATGTACGGTTTCAAATACTATTGCATTTGTATGTACTAGCACATTTCCCAGAGACATGAGCGCACTAGCTTGGTTGGAGTTTCTACTTCCTTAAAGTCAGATCTATATGAAGTACATCTATAAACCTTTACACTTTTTAAAAATTCGACATCAGGGTGGAGTGGGGGAACCTCACCAAATCAGTTGAAATCAAGACTCTGCAATGAAACTGCTTGAGTTTGGCCATAGCATCAAGTCGTTGGTTCTGATTCATACTGCCTAGAGAAAGACGAACAAATGGAGAAATGAAGACCAGACAACAAAAGTACTAGCAGAATCATTAGGGTAGTGTCTCCTCCACAGACACTTTTCTCTAATCTATCTATTGTACATACATAGTAATTCCTACCAAGCTCAAATGGGCCTTACTCCTAAATTAATATTTATACAATTGCAACTTAAAATAACATACTTACTTACACATGTGCATGAAAACAACAAATTCCACATACAACATTGCTGAAATTAATATAAGAAAAAATTATCAATAGGCCTGCAAACTTGCCTGAAATGCACTCAGCAGGAAAACCTTTGGAAGTCAGTAAATCTGCTAGGTGTTGAGCCCTGAAACAGTGAAAAAGAAAATACAGTAAATGTATTTATAGCATAACACTTCATGACTGCCCCACTTGCCAGCTCCTCAAAACTGTCTGACAGGAGTGTATAGCAAATATTTAACAAACAGCTAAACTTAGCAGCATATTGTTCCTGGCATAGTAAGATGCAAGCACAATTGATTTAATCTGGAATCATTTCCCCTGGATTACTTCATCCGCTGTATATATGATGAACTCTTAGTCTTTAAGTCATAAAAATATGGTGTGTGTTTTAAAGGCATGAGATTTTTAGAAATAAATCCTACTGTTTTAATTTAATTCAATACTGCATGACATACTAAACAATAGATGACCAATCTTACAGCCCTAGAAACTCACTAGCTTTACCAACTTTAATGTGCATTGGCTTTCACTTACAGAAACAGGAGCATTGCTATAAAACCCCAAATAATTCATTGTTATTTTAGCTAATCTAGATTTTTTAAAAAACATAAAATACCGGCTATGTAGATTCGAGAAGACCAGGGCCTGGTTGAAAGGAATCTTGCTGAACAGCTCCTGTAAATGCTCAGCCTTCTCCTCAAAAGTCTTATGAGGTAACGGGTGAGAATTCACAACTTTGAAGTACTGCTTCAACCCTAACCAAAACAGGATGGGCTTATATATCATTTGTACAAACAAAAAATCTTTTAAGGAAAGGATACAAATGTAACAATAATAAATGGTTGTCCCAATAGTTCTGGTTAAGTTGTTATATAGAGGATTAACATGGCAGACAATAAATTCAAACCACATATTTATCAAGGTGACAAAGTCTATAACTGGGATGGTGATTGTATGGCCTTCCAGAAACTGTTGGACTCTCAACTTCCATCAGCCCCAGACAGCATGGCCAATCATCAAGGATGAATTAAAGGCCAGCAACAACTGGAAGGTCATAGGTTCCCCACTACTACTTTAGAATCAAGCATACAACTCTAAGATATTTGGAGGGTTGTGCAGAAATGCAAAGAGCACATCATACATACCAATGAGACTTGGGTCCGTGGGATTCAATCTCACAAAGGTGGGATCTCTCATGTACCTAGTCAAAGAATTAGCCAAGGATTCAGGATAGGTGGCCGACACAGCTAACATTTGCTTATTGGCTGGTAGAGAAGAATAAATCCAACTAAAGAGAGGGGGAGGGAGCACCATTTAGAACAAACACTTCAAACTAAATATGTTTCAGAAACAAAAAGATTATAATGATTACTGGTAGGCTACTCTTACTTGACTTGATCCTGGAAACTACCTTCTTCCAGAAGCTTATCTGCCTCATCAAGAATGAAGAGACGAATGCTGGCTGTATTCAGATAGTTCAGTTCTATGAGTTGCTTTATGCGCCCTGCCAACAACAAAAATTGCATTAGGATCTTAAGCATACAACACATCTAAATGAAATAAATATACTTTTGCAAAAGAATAGTAAACATAGCACTTTGCTAAATATGACTGATTAACTCTCTATGTGCAGTTTTCAAATTCTGCTCTGTAAATATGTTTGCACAGACAGCATCCACTAGTTTTTGTAGCACAATACAAGATTTGATAAACACATATCATTTTATTTGTCTCACCAGGAGAGCCAACTGCTATGTGACACTTTTTCAGCCTCATTTTATCTTGGTTTAAAGGGGTTCCTCCAATGAAGACATGACATTCCAAGCCTTCCATCTTGATCCCAATAGTTGTAATAACTGCATGAATCTGAACAGCAATCTCTCTGGTAGGGGCCAAGATCAAAATCTGAAAAAAGGTCAAGCTGTGAATAGACTAGAAGAACAAACAAAAAATGAATACATCATATTTCCTAGATTATTAACCCCTCTGCTCCCATAACAGCTGAGGGACCAATAAGTGACACTTCTTTGATGGCATTTTTTGTCAGCTAGAAGCCAGATATCCCCTCAATAAGTGCCAATCACACTTACAAAGCATCCTTAAATATCAGCATAAATCCATATGTAACAGTTATAATAAACTGAGCTTTTGCGTGCATGCACACGAAAGCTCATACCAATAACAAACTTAGTTGGTCTCTAAGGTGCTAGTGGAAGGAATGTTTTTATTTTGTTTCGACTACGGCAGACCAACACGGCTACCTACCAATATCTAGTTATAATAAAGCTTACCTATGAGGGAGCTAGAATGAAACTCTCACTGAATAGCACTGCCCTTGTAAATAATCTTGTTATTGATTACTGACATCACTTCTCTCAAAACTTTACACAAAACTATAATGCTCACCTGCGTAACCAGGCTTTCCAAAATAAGGGAATCAAGTGCAATAGTAGAGAAGACACAGGTTTTACCAGTGCCAGATTTTGCTTGTACAATGAGATCTGAAAAGTAAACAAATAGAAAAATGTCAAGAAGCAGCCAAAACATCACCACCAAAAATCCAGGACAAATGACAAGTAAATTAGGCCAGTCATGTCATCAGCAACCAATTCACTTTCAATGGAACACCGCTCCAAAGCTAAAACCATCCAACAGTCATCCATCTAACAGCGAATAAATATTTACAGTACACCAATCACATTAAAATATATTAAAATAGAGATTAGATGTTTCATCAGTATTATTAGCTTCATCTTGCAACTTTGTGTCTTCCAAGTGACATCTAAACAAACAAACACATAACACAAAGCTCCTATGCTGGTACAAGCACAAATGGGGACCAGGAGTGGGTCTTCTTGCAGTAGCAATTTTCTTGAAGGCAACTTGCCCTTCACTTCTGATCTTTCTCTACAATATGCAGGTGGAAGTAAAATGCTAGGTGTTTGCTTGATTTCTCATCTCACCGCATACCAGGACATGTACAGAGTATACACCACTTCAATCAATAATAAGATTCTCAAAACATCAATTTTAATCCAAAAGTCCTGCACAGACCCAACTTAAATGTTTTATTGTCTGTTTTTCATAGACCATCTCCCTCCATGCCCTCTCACCATATGCCTTTAAAAAAAAATCCACAAAGACAAAAGAAGGCAATGGTTGCATCCGTGGCACATGCCACTTTAGTTTGGCCTGCAACCTACAGCCCAGTTTTGCATATTAGCCACTTAGCTAAGGAGCCTACTGCAATATGCAAAAGGCTCATTGCCTCAGAAAGGCCTCCTTAAACATGCAAACACAAAGCTCTGGAATAACCCTCTGAAAGGTAAAATGCCTGCTACAGTGGTACCTTGGTTCTCAAACACCTTGGTACTCAAACAACTTGGAACCCAAACACTGCAAACCCAGAAGTGTGAGAACTTTTTTTGGAAGCCGAACATGCTCCGTTTTGAGTGTTGCGCTTCCAATTTGAGTGCCACAGTTCCATTTTGAGTGTTACGCTGAGGTCTGCCTGTTTTTGCTATTTATTTTGTGTTTTTGTGGCTCTCTTTTTTGTTTTTTTGACTGTGTGGAACCCAGTTCAGCTACTGACTGACTGATTGATTGTGTGACTGAGGTACATTGTTTATTGCTTATAGGGGTTGTTTTTAAAAGCCTGCAACGGATGAATCCATTCTGCATGACTTTCTATGGGAAAGCGAGCATTGGAACAGACTTCTGGAACGGATCAAGTTTGAGGACCAAGGTACCACTGTACCTTCTACAGCCGACATTGCTCCACTGCCTCAGCAGCATTTTTCTTCCCAACGCAAGTTCTTGGCCTGACTTCTGACACTCTCCTATCCTTTGGCACAAAGACTCTACACCCAGGGCCGGCCCAAGACATTTTTGCACCCGAAGCCAAAACCCCAATGGCAGTCCATTCCCTGCCAGGGAAGGAGTGGAGATCTACACAAGGAACAAGGGCGAGGAGAGAGAAAGATCCATATCGGGATCTGCTGACCCTGGGGATCCTGCCGCAGAAGGCGACGGCCTCACCTGCCCTCCCAATCCCTCATCCCGCCTCACCTAGGCCGCAGCGCCCCAGCGGGATGGCTTTGAGCTGCACTGGGGAAGGCCTCAGGAACCCGGCAGCTTTCAGCCCCTCCAGTACCGGGGCCGACAGCAGCAGCGACCCGAAGTCTTCGGGCCCTTCGTGCAGAAGCACGTCCCGGGTACGGAGCCAGCTCTCAGCAGGAGCCACCTCGGGAGCCGCCATCTTGGAAAAGAGAGCGGGAACCCTGGGAAAGCGTCGGGAGAAACGAGGGGCGACGAGACCTTGCGGATGTGACGACAGAGGCGCGCGCGCCGAACACACACACAAAAAAAGATACGGCGCGGTGGGCGGGGGGGGGGGGGGAGAATCGCTTCAGAGAAGTGCCTGAGAGAGGAAGCGGATTGCGGGGGGAGATAATTGGATGGCTGAAAGAGGACCGAACCATTGAGACAGGGGTGGGGGTGGAGTGAGCGTAGGTCCTTTAGGCTGCGGGCGGAACCAAGCAGCCATTCTTTGGGGGGGGGGCTGCACCTAGGCGGGAGCAATAAAGGGCTTATCTAAGGCAGCGTCAAGACTCAAGATGGGTGGAAAGGAGGAGGAGGCGGCGATCGCGGGCTACTTCCATCTATATACTGCCTGAAGCCTGAAGCTCGTGTTTTCATGGCAGAAGCCCCCGTTGCTGCCTCCGTTTCACTTCCTTTTCAGGCTTCTTTCCAGTGTGTCTTTTTCTCGATTGGAAGCACCTGCGGGCAGAGACCTGCTCTCTTTCTTTCTTAAGCACCTTCTACCTGAATGGGATCTAGCTTTTATTATTTATAATAATAAACTATATATATAGTTTTTTTTAATTTTTATTTTTCTGCTGTGGTTCTTGTATTGATGTTTTCTCTTGTTTCGTTTCCGATTTTTTTGTAAGCTGAATTGGAATTTGATAATAAAGAGCGGGATCAGTGTGTTAATAAAACGAACATTTGGCCCTCGATTAATAAAAATCATAAATAAAATGCAGTGATATATATATATCAGCTAGAGGCTTCTACATTTTAAGCACACATAGTTTGGGAATGCTGGGTAGAAAATCCATTGAGAAGTTGGGAATTACTTCTGTGTAAAGATGAATCGGATTGGGTACCGATCCTAAAATTACTTGGGAGTAAAACCTACAAGCAAATGGGACTCATGTGTAAAGTTGTATAGGATATGATTAACTTTTGCAAGGAGTGATATACATGGTGATGATTGATCACCATTTGCTAGTAGTCAATAAGGCTCAACAGAACTCTTTGTTGACAAAATCCACGTCATAATTTTGTTTGTTCAATAACAATTGCACATGCTGTTTCTTACCATAAGAGGGTGCACCCTGCTCAGAAACGCGTCTTTTCTAAAGCTGTGCACAACAAAACTTCCCGTTCTGTATCAGTTTATGAGCAAAGAAACTGCATTCTTACTTCAAAAATCATAGACGACTTCTCATCATGGGTGCAGGCCTGGACCAAGCAGGGGAGAGAGAGCTGGCATGTGTCCCAAGCAGCAGGTTGGGCAGTGGGGCAGCAAAATTATCAGCTTGTCGTGCCCACTCCTGTGTGTGCACAGACTCTCAACTTTGCCAGGTGGGGTGGGGCAAAAGTTTGCAAGGATGAACGTGGGGCAGACTTCCAAGTCTCCCATAACCCTCCTTTTAGGCTCCACAATCAGGGCTTGAAAGGGGTGGGTGTGGGGAGTCTTGGAAAACCTACCCTGAGCTGATCTCTGTGTTGAAAGGGATTGGTGCTGAGCAGGCTTTTTGAGCCTCCCCACTTTGAAGCTCTACAGTGGTACCTCGGGTTACAGACGCTTCAGGTTACAGACTCCGCTAACCCAGAAATAGAGCTTCAGGTTAAAAACTTTGCTTCAGGATGAGAACAGAAATCTGGCTCTGGCGGTGCGGCAGCAGCAGGAGGCCCCATTAGCTAAAGTGGTGCTTCAGGTTAAGAACAGTTTCAGGTTATGTACAGACCTCCCGAACGAATTAAGTACTTAACCCGAGGTACCACTGTACAGGATTTCAAAGCCTCCCCACTCCTTGAAAAGCCTTCCTGGTATGAAGCCAAACCCTGGAAACTATAGTTAATTTAAACAACAACAAAAAGATTGATGATCCTGAATTGTCAAACCATAGTTTTAAGTTAGGCTGCAATCCTATACCCACAGACGTAGGAGCACGTCCCATTAGCTTTAATTAGACTTACTTTTGTGTGCACATTATAGGATGGTGCATTTAGTCTTTTAAACTAACTCTAGTTGTGTCACACGATGGTATGTACTGTGTAGTTTGCCCCTTGTATATGGAGGTGGTTGTTAGCAGTGGACACTTCTTCCATATTTTATTTCTTTTTCGCATTCCTTTTGATTTGGATATATTTATACAAGTGAAATTTACATAGCATAGACTGTATGCATTGGGCAAGCATGTCATGAACAGGGAAGAGAAAGGGTTCTTTTTGTAAGGTATACATTTTTAAAACTTATTTAAAATTTAACTTACAATTTTGTTGTGCACATTGAATATGGATGTACAGTAGATTAAAAAAACAATTTTGCTTGGTTTTTTTAATAAATATGTGCAACCTGTTTTTCCAGAGAGTGAAACACAAGTGCACTCCTAGGAAAAATCTATATAGCCTCTTTTCCCCATAAACTATCCAATCTTGTTAACAGAAAAGTTTGAAACAGCTGTTTTGGGGTTTGCGCAGTTTCTTTCTCCTGTTTCACTTAATGTAATGAGCAGCCGCTCTGTGATGTCAGCTCATATTTAAAGTTATGGGTGAGCTGAGAAGTGAAGAAAGAAAATTTTTGCCAGGCACAATTCTTGTGTCCCTATATCTTTTGTTGGTGGTGGTCCTGGTGTTGGCTGTGGAGGAAAAAACTTAACAGACCTAAGTTCTTAACAATGCAATCTATACCTGTCTGTTCAGTAGTAAGTCCCATTCAGTACAGCGGGGCTGAATCCCAGGTAAGTGTACATATGCCTTCATGTTTTCACCTCCATGGATGGAGCTGCACAGCCCATGGAGATTGTGCAATCAATGGCTACTAGTCATAATGGCTATGTGCTAACTCTAGGATCAAAGGCCACATACCTCTGAAATAATACCAATTTTTAGGGATCAACAGCAGAAGGGGGCTGTTCCGCTCATGTCCTGCTTGTGCGCTTCCCATAAGAATTTGGCTTGTTGCTGCAGAAAGCAGGACTCTAGACTGGGCAGTCCTTTGGCCTGAGCTACCAGATCCTGAAGCTTAGGCTCCAATGCTTTGGCCACCTCATGAGAAGAGAAGACTCCCTGGAAAAGACCCTGATGTTGGGAAAGATGGAGGGCACAAGGAGAAGGGGACGACAGAGGACGAGATGGTTGGACAGTGTTCTCGAAGCTACCAACATGAGTGACCAAACTGCGGGAGGCAGTGGAAGACAGGAGTGCCTGGCGTGCTCTGGTCCATGGGGTCACGAAGAGTCGTACATGACTAAACGACTAAACAACAACAACCAGGACTTCTCTTACATTCTTATGTTAGTCCGTGCTGCTTGCAGAATTGCCTTCGTATGTGGCGTGCATGAACTACAAATCTCTAGCTTAGCGTCACAAGTCTGTCAAAGTGCTTTTGAAATTAATAGTTGGTTTCATTTCCAGGAATAACCAACCAACAAACAAAAAACATTTGCTGCTACCCGAACATCCGTTGTTCATTCATTCATTCATTCCTGTCAAGTTCTCAGTTTGGCATAAGATCCATTTTTTATATGGAACATGAGGAAAGTGTTCAGAAAACATACCCTTATATTCTGCTGCATCTGCCAAAAAAGGGCGAACACATATATCCCTTCAGTAAACTACAAGGAGCATTTGATTTGCAAATTTTCCTGGTCAGGAGTAACTGCAGTCATGTATGACTGGGACATAAAAGCACTTCCCTGTAATTGAAATTCCACAAATGGAGCAGGCAGGGAGAAACCCTCTCTGAGCAGCTGAAATGATTAGTTATACCTTTTAGCAAAAGGGCGTGATCCCTCAGGGTAGCGGACCCGGTTTATAGTCTTCTTTATGAAAACAACCTCTGTTCATTCTGCTCCAAGGCAATGCGATAAATAACCTTGCCTATTTGGCATACAGTGTTACATACAGCCCGATACGTAATTTAACACTGATGCAAACAGTGTTATCTGTTAGCTAGGGAAATTGTGCTATGGCTTCAAAAGCAAGGAGGTGGGTTTTAATTGACATAGTGATTCTGAAATGCAACTGCCATTCATATCAGTGATTGCAGGGAGGGAGGAACCCTTTGCTCTTGGTTAGCAGACAAGAGAAACCTGCAATAAAATGCTGCAGCGTGGAGTGCACCTCTTCAGGGTGCTAGCCGGCCCATTTCCAGGGCACTCCATTGCATTTCTCCTCCCACCTTCCTGCTCCACAATAGGCACTCAGCATTGTGTGACCACAAGAGCATATTCTGTCTTCATTAAGATGTTTTGGGGTCCATCATAGGGGTTATCCTCCCTGTTTTGTTGTGTGTCTACAAATCTTGGAGTTCATCCAAGCTTGCTAATACCTTCATCTTGCGCATGAGTGGTGCCATTTTGGCTATATATGGAGTTTTATTCTGAATAGACCCGCTGAAATGAATGAACATGACAATGTTATGTCCATTGATTTCAGTAGGTCTACTCTTAAGGTCTACTAAGTAAACTTAGTAAAAGGTAAAGGGACCCCTGACCATTAGGTCCAGTCGTGGCTGACTCTGGGGTTGCAGTGCTCATCTCGCTTTATTGGCTGAGGGAGCCGGTGTACAGCTTCCGGGTCACGTGGCCAGCATGACTAAGCAGCTTCTGCCGAACCAGAGCAGCACACGGAAATGCCGTTTACCTTCCTGCCGGAGCGGTACCTATTTATCTACTTGCACTTTGATGTGATTTCGAACTGCTAGGTTGGCAGGAGCAGGCACCGAGCAACAGGAGCTCACCCCATTACGGGGATTCGAACCGCCGACCTTCTGATTGGCAAGTCCTAGGATCTGTGGTTTAACCCACAGTGCCACCCACATCCCTAGTAAAACTTAGTCAGCTACCATTCAGGGAGTTATATGAGGCCAAATGTATACCAGTTATACTGTTTTTGTTTTTAAAATATTTTGATTAAAAATTTGGTAGACTTTGGCTGCTATGCAGCATATACTTACTTAGAAGTAATCAATGCATGCAAGAAGTCCTAT